TCGTCTGCATAAGGTTCTGTTCGCTCGATCTACTTTGAGGGCAACGAAGCAATGTACTTCGGATCCCATGCTCTCAAGCGCAAGAGCGCCTTCAGCACGTATCTGTCCTCTCCGTTGGCTTCGGCTTCGTCTGGATCAAGACTGATCCATCTGTATTGCTCCGAGGTCTCGTCTAATTTGACATCAACGCCTGGCTTTTCCAGCTCCACCAAGACGATAGGGTTGACAGTCTGTGTGCCTTTCTCTGTATCGGTGTCCCAGTTGCTAGTGGGGAAGAGAGTGTTCCAGACACCAAGAACTTGGATCGGTTTAACACAGTCCAAGCCAGTCTCGTCCTTGGCCTTGCGAATCGCCGCAGAGAAGAAGGTTTCCCCCTTCAACATGCGACCCCCAGGAAGCCACCATACACCCTTAACAGGTTCCGCGGCGCGCTCCACCAAAAGTGCTTCCTTCCGTTGCAAAGTGGGGTTGTATCGCACGATTAGCGTGTCGACACAGCAAACGACGCAGTCGCGAACCAAGCGACCGTATAGGTCTCCGGGGGAGAAATTTTCGTGATTCCGTGATCGTCGTCAGCTCACCTTCATCGCCGTAGAAAAGAGATAAGTCATCCCCGACCGCAGTGGCACCAGCTTAACAGGGGACAGTGCATGGAATGTGAGCCATAAGTTATACGCTCATCTTTCGTCTGTGAACGGAGTTCATTTCCTAACACACAACGTACCATTTGTTTGGTCATCCTCCTTTTTTCGCGATCTCATCAAGTGGAAGACCGATGCGGCCTGCTGCGCCAGCAAGGAACGATACGATGACTGCCCCGCGGCCCATTTTGTTGCAGAAGTGAACACCTATCGACCTTATGAAATGATGTTGTTGCTTTGAAATGCTTGGAATGGAGAAAACTTAATGTCTATATATTTCGATCTATTTAGAATCTATATCGAAGATATACTTATTGATACATGTACACATTTATGTAGCTTCGTTTCGACGTCATCGATACGAACCCCTCAGTGCACTTACAATCTCATCCCATGTGTATCCAATATGACTTACTTGGGGTAACTGGGGTCTACGAGGGTGCATTTTGAATGCATGTCGACGGAGCCGCGCCCAAATCCGAATTTGAAAGCCACGGGAGTTACGTATGTCTCCTACACGCGTACGTAGAAATGGTACTCAAGGTACGGGTATCGTACACATTTTGAAAACTGATCACACAAATACTTCACAATTGCAATTTGGCACAATGCACCCTCAACTGCAGACAATCTGCATGTAATATCTCTGTAGTTCATTAATTAACTTACTTTCCATTCTGTGTCTGTATTGCATGTAGCAATTACAGTCAGTTGTAGTAACTGTGGGAATGAAACTTGTTGTTTTTGATAGATATTCAATGCTTTTTTTGACAGGGAACCAGGACAACAACAATTTTAACAGGAGGCTACCGGTATCAACGTACTGTAGGTTTCACAATCGAGTACTGCGCTACTGGACCACTCCGAGTACCTTGCATAGAATCTACGGTGTATTCCGCATTTCTAATGTATTTTCGTACGTATAGTGCTATACTACAGTACTCCTTAAATCATTGAACGCGGTGTTGTACAACAGTACCGGTAGTACCATAAGCAATTTGCTGACAGATGACATCGACTCGTAGACTTTGAGTAATAAGCGGTTGTAGGTTTGTCTTCAAAATATTTGAGGGGTCGATTTGGATTTTACCAACCCAGATTATAAACAGCGTAAGCATACCGGCAACGTACACAAGTATGTTACACATCCGCCATGTATGTCAAACAAAACTTCGGCAACCGGGCCAGCGCCGATCTTGCGAACAGCCGAGTTTTTGAGCTGTCTGATTGGTGAAAATCGAAGACAGGATGACGTCTAAGGGGCTGAAGGACAAATGAAGATAAATGTATACAAAAGTGCTTACTTTTATATTCGATATAGATTCTAAATAGATCGAAATATATAGACATTAAGCTTTCTCCTTGGAATGTCCCTCTGCGTAACCTATTCTTCTTGCTTGGGACTCGGTTTTGGTTCTACCTGTACTTGTACTAGAGTACCTGGTACCAAGTACCATTCCTACTAGTGCGAGCATGGTACAAGTACGGTGGCGGTCTGTTGTCTTTCGGTTGTTGACCTCAAACCTCAAGAGTCTCTCTTCTACGTTGTACAAGTACAATACCTGGTACAAGTATGTATGTACTTGTACTCCGAGCTCCGAGTAATTGTGTATTCATAGTACCACGTACTACCGGCAGACATAAAACGATGCATACAGTACATGTCCCGGTGGGTACAAGTACAAGGATGACCTACGAGTGTAGGTAACGTGTATACTGTATACTGTATACTTCATCATACAAGTAGAGAGTAGAATACAATGTAGTACAGTAGTACTTGTACCAGGTACGGTAACGCAAACCGGGTCTTCTAAACGAATGCTGGAACCCAGAGAATGATAAAGCTGGCGCCACTGATGCATTCAGACTCCATAGGTCTATATAGTCCATAGAATTGTTTAGACTTCAGTCTGTAATCAGAGTAGGGTCTTCCACTTCTTTTATTATTCCTGCGAGTTTTGACGTCACAATTTTTGGTCTGGGAAAAGATTGCTGAACGCAATCACAAATGGAGAACTGACAAACCAATCAACATGTCTAAATAGAAATCCTCAATGTTGCTACACAATCGGGCTGTAAAAGAGTCAAGCCTGAACGATGAACTAGGCGGCAGTGTCAACAATCCCAAAAATCTGCTCACCCTGCATCTTGTACAACACCTTCGCATACTCGTAGAGCTCCATGTCGTACACATTGACACGAGCAAGTGCCTGGTACGCCTTAGAACCAGGCTCGAGCTCGGGAACATTGTGTCGGGTATCACCAGCCTGTAATACAGCTGTCCGACACTCCCGTACTTGGTCTGGCGACGATTTTTGAGACCAGCCGAAGTACAGCTGGAATCGTTTGAGAGAATTCTCCAGATCTTCATAAATCCCAACCAAACACTTGGTTCGTAGAATTTCTTTCGCTGTCACCATATCGTGCTTGCTTAACGTTCCTCCTCTCTTGTCGACAAGAAATCTTGTCATCCAATTGTGTTCCACTGAAGCACTCCTGGCGTATTCTTCAATGGTCAGTCCTTTCAATCTAGGATCGTAGAGTGGATCCCAACTCGCGCTAGAGAGGTAGTGATACATGCTGACTCCTCGATTTATTGGATCTCGAAAGAGAGCAAACATTCGTCCCTTTTGGACACGATTGAAGATACTGCTGGCAAATAAGTGTAGCTCTGGGCTTGTCATGACTTCTGCCAGTCGAGCATCGGCAAGTCCGAGCTGCTTGGCACGCCTTATTCCTTGTATTGTGGTCGTGTCAACATTGACATACAGAGCGCCACTCTGCGATTCGAAGACTTCCAATTTTTCGTCGTTATACTCAGGCTGTTTCAGGCCATGCTCGCACGCTAGAATGAGGAAATGACATTTCGAAAACACTGATTCTGCAATTGTTTCGCCTGCAAAATGGATGTCCCAAAAGTATGCAGTATCTGTTTTGGGGTTGTAAAGATTGGAAAGATCGGCGAGGTCAGACAGTGCGAGGGGCACACGAGCGCCCAGTCGAGGTCGAGGCTGTATTTGAGGTTGTTGCTGAACCATGATTTCACCCTGCGCGTTCGGGACGACAGCGGATTGCGCGTAGTGCATCACTTGTAGTTGCGTCCGTCGGTCAAGGCTCCGATAGAAGACGAAGCATGCCACAATTATCAAGCCAGGAGACACTTGCTTCAGGAACCATAATGCTATTTGCCCAATTGGTTTCGACGTTAGATGTTGTTGTCGAATGGACGACGCCAGATGGTGGCCTACCGTTCTTGCTTGGAAAGCGGGTAGACGATTGGTCGTTCGTCGCACCTCGTCCCCCATCGCAACTCTTTTGACTGCTCGAGACGACGATGCCATCGTTATGCTTGTTTGTTGTTCTGGCGAACGTTTCGACTATTCTTCCGCGACCCAGGCTGTGAAGGACTTGGCGCCTTTGTAGTCAAAATGACGACTACGGAAAAGTACTCTACGAGTAGAGTTCGGGAGGATGAGTTTTTAACATTTTCGGTGCTTTGCGTCTTATGTCATATGACCGCAGGTATTTCCAGACGATGACTGTCTCTCTAGCTAGAATGTCTCTTTTGATCGTGTTTAATGAGGTTCCGGAGTTCTTGCTCGCATGGTAATAAAATCATGTAGCATCTACGGAGACATGAGTCAAAGTTCCGGAACCCCCTCAGGACAGACTGAATCATCATCATCATCAAGCCGAGAAAAGGAAGAGGTAGAGTACTCTAGCGTACAGTGAGTTAGTCTGTTGGATCAGATCCTTGAATCCACACAGATGTTCACATTCATGCTCATTATTTCTACAGGACTAGGATAACCTATTCCTAGTGGTACCGAGGGCATTAATGTCATTCTCCAGAATCGGAGCTTCCGCTTGATTGTGCAGAGTCCTTCAGATTGACTTGTGCATTGAGCTTGCACTGTCTGCTTGAAACACATTACTAGAAACCGGAGCTCAGAACATATCTCACACACCACAAACTTTACTGCTCTGATGGTTTAGAAATTTTTGCAATTGATAGCCACTCGCTTGCCAGAGAATGTCTCAAAGGTCGTCATCAATAGCGTGATTCATGACCTGTCTGGCTTTCCTGAAAACTGAGATCAAGATGGATGTACAGTATCATGTAATGTCAAGACGTATTTTGTATAATAATGCTGATAGGAGTAGATTATGCATACCGCACAATGTATAGCCTTGGATGCACTATGGACTATGGACTATTTACTATTTGTACTTGTACTTGTACTTTGTACTCCATCTAACATGAACGACAAACTAAAAGTATTAGTACTCCCTCACAGCTGTCGGCTCGCGAAGAACGAAAAGAAGAAGGACATGGCTCTTTACCAAAAATAGAACGTCTTGCTCGCCTAGGTTTCGATCCTAGGACCTTTGGGTTATGAGCCCAACACGCTTCCTCTGCGCCAGCGAGCAGTTTGTTTGTTCGATGATCGTTGAGGTCTAATCAAAATATATAAAATCTGAGAGTTTTCAAGAGATTCCAAATGTTTGTATGATACTGAGTACAAATGTACCTGGTACCAGGTATATGATCAATCAGAGATGAGCACTGTGATCAGCTCGCATGACGTATGCTCGTATGCTCGTATGCTACCGTAGTACGCTAGTACTGACCTGCTATCATATGCAAAACCGACATACAGCAGCTGTACGCGCCTATCACATACGACGAGGGCCCCAGCCCCCAGCAGTCAATGCTGCACAATGTTGGGTACAAGTACCAGGTATGCTGGTATGCCGATGCTGTACTACAGGTAGTATGCTGTATGCTCAAATACTACCTCCACTACAGTACAGTACTTGCACCAGCAGTACAATACGGAGTGCAAGGACTACAGACGCTACAGTACTGGAGTACTTCATTAATTTATACGGAGTATTTGACCAAATGTACTGCAGGCTGTGAGGGTCCGAAGTCCGAATGTCCGCAACCGGATCACGAATCACGAATCCGTTCAAATGTGTACGTAACGGCCGACTCTTACCTTAGAGAAGACGAGATAAACGATAAAGTAGTAACACAAGAAGCGTACAAAAGTAGTAAACGATAAACTTGTGTCTACGTCTGCTCTTGTCTCTGATTACTACTGTACTAGCGGTTTCCGTACTGTATCGTCCGTATTCAAACGGTCCCCGTAAATCATGAATTCGCCTCGTGACAGAATGATTTATCCCTCATTCCACCTTGTCCGCAAAAACGACCTGGTATTAAAGCCCGCGGACTCCATCCGCTCCAGGGGTAAACGACCTCGCCCACGCAACGGTCGATAACCCAGGGCATGCCATTCTTAATACATAATGTGGCGACATAGTGCTCGACGACGGTCTGCAGTGAGTACCTTCGTAAATAGGTCGGCCAAGTTAGTCATGCCGTCCTCTTTTCCCACACGTATGATCTTCGCGGCAACAGCCTCGCGTACTGCATGATAATTGATTGCATTGTGCTTCTTTGCAAGCATTGATTCGGGAATAGTTGTGTTTTTCACGACACCGTTATTGTCGCAGAATATATTGGCCGGACCATCAATTGGCACGCCAAACATTCGGAGCTTATATCGCAACGCGACAAGCATGTCCTTCGCAGCTCGAAGCGCGACAAATTCACTCCCAAAACTGGAGGATTCAACGGTATTTTGCCGTTTCGAAAACCAAATGATCGGCGCATTCTGAACGTAAATGATAATCCCAGTATGCGATCTTCGAGTAATAACATTTCCTGCGTGATTCGCATCAACAAAACATGATATATTCACACATTTACCTTTTGGTTCTGGCATGTTCGGGGGTAGTTCCTCACATACGTCCCCGTAAAAATCTCGCCAATCGGCATCAGAGTTGAACACACGTTCATCGATATCAGGGGTTTTCGGATCGAAAACAATTCGAGCTCCATTCTCATGCTTCTTCAAGTATGCGAAGATGTGGTATAATGCCTCAAGGTGACCGCGCCGTGGCAGTGCCTGATGTTGGGACAATTGCGATACTTCGACAAATATGTCGAGGCGTCCGAGTTCAATTGCCCATCGCAGTATTCCAATTAATTGAAGGAAACGCGACCCCATTTCGTCACTAAGTTCAGGAGTTACATCCAGCTCGGGTTTATAGCCGCTGGGGAATGGATTCCTCGCCGTTGACTTCAACTTCGCTTCCGGATCGTCTTCTGCAATTAATGCTTCGACAACTTTGATGGCGTTCTTGACATAAGTCTTACTGCCCATGGCCCATTCCACTTTACCATTCGGCAATTGGACCTTCTCCATATTGGCTCCAAGATATATATCGGGCTCATGGACACTTTCCGGTTTGAGCTCGTACAATTTGCCCAATTCGTCCATAGTTTGTTTTGGTTCCTTCGCGAATATCAGGATGTCATCAACGTATACCAGCACCATATCATAGTGCGTTCCGGCACTCGAATCCATACATCTGGATCTGCCTGTGTTGATGTAAAGTTCATATGACACAGCGTTGCCGCCAAGTCCGCACGCCAGGCAGCGCCTGATGATTTGAGTCCATATAGGGCACGCGTTACAATCAAGACTTTACCGCGGTCTTCGCCAGTTTCAATGCCGCCTTCAAACCAAATCTTCTCACGGCACGATGCGTTTAAGTATGCATTAGTTACATCCCCCGCCAGCACGTCGAGGTCGTTCAGACCAGCAATCAGAAACGCCAGGCGTACACTGTCGCGCGATACCACGCTCGAGTAAGTTATTGATCCTGGCGTGTCGGTCGTGTGCCCTCCGGCAACAAATCTTGCCTTTCGGGTGAAATCCATTTTGACGTCGAATATCACATGACATCGAATTTCTTGAAAACCAATCATCGATGGCTCCTTTCCGCTTCGTGCTTGCGCGGGTGATATCCCGTCAGCGCTTTTCCACGCGACTTTCACCTTTGTCATCTCCTTTCCTAGTGCCTTGCGCCAGAAGTCGGTTCCAGTCTCTTCGTCAATCGTCAGGGCTTCTTCGACTGTCTTTGGCACACGTATGCCGAATTTGTGGGTCGTACGCCAATAGCGTTTGACCTTCGCAACAATGCGATTTCGCTTCCGCAGAACCGTATGTACCCACCAGTTAAACGCTGGCTCATTGGCAATTTTGTTTGCCACTGCATATTCTGCAACTTGAACAGGATAGGCGTCTTTTAAATCCTTCAATGGTAGCCAGTCCGAAGACCCGTCCTTCCACGAGACCAAAAGGGACCAGCCTCGGGTTGTCGGTTTCGGGATACGATTCCCATTACGACTTGTGGTGAAACCATCTGCGATTTGAATCGCCGAGTTGTCAGACCTGTGGTCAGTGATCTCGCTCAATAATTGATACTGATTTCCTTCAGAGTCAACCTGTGCATACATGCACTCTGCAATCACATTTGCGAAGTAGTTCTCAGTGGATCCATCGGTGAACTCCACAACGTATTCTCGGGTATCGAACAGGGGGTTGGAATGTGCACGACCAATCGGTTCGCCAGAGGTACCCTTTGCACGTTTGACCACACGGCCTTTGCGTTCGCTGCCGGTACCGACATCGAATATTAGTTCTGCATTCAAATACTTGTCAATTACGTCGTCGTTGATGTCGTCGGCATCCAACGTGTCAGGGGTATCCATATCACCATAATCTTCATCGGTGCGTACGGTGCCACTCGGCACCTCATCAAACTCGTCTTGGATATAAAATCCGTCAGCTGCATTAACCATAAAGTTCTGATCTGACAGACGCTCGTCAACTGCGCGGTCGAAACTCTCGATTTCGGTTTTGACGTCATTGTTCAGGTAGTCGTCACGTACGACATGTTGTACCGTAGTTCGGGCAATTACATTGCCGGATTCAAGTAGTAGCCAATAGCATAGATCGCTCCCGACCCGGTGGGCAACACCAAGCCATCGCGCGAGACGTCGCCCGCTGCCGTCGATTTCGATTTTCTTCTGGTCATAGTACCATACGCGATCGTAAAACTCAAAGTCGATCCACTCGGATATGTCTGGTGTCTCACCGGTGACAATCTCAATCCCGGTGCGCAGTTGTTGGCCACGAGGAATTCTGTTTAGAATGTTAGTCTCATAGACCAGACCATAATCCCACAGACGAGGTGGGACTTTCCGCTTGAGCATGCGATTCCTCCATCGCTTCTTGAGCTCGCCGATTTCTCTCTCGGCCGCGTAATTCTGATTCGATCGTCCAACCTCAGATCGCTTTAACCTGATCTTCAAACGATTTACCTCCTTCATAAAGTCAGTCTTAGGACCAACAATTTCGGGAGCTCCATCAGACAATAAGGAGTCAGGAATGCCAACATCGTCGGCAAATTCGGTCAACGCCCGAGCGACTTTCGATTTCGAATCGAGAGGATGGACCGTGGTGAACGATCCGTTAGTGAATACTTGCGCGCACGTGTTACCCTGGATTGATATGACCTTCGAGAATAAGGTATCAGTGAACCAGTCCCCGTTTAGGCGTCGCCGGTTCAGGTGTAAGTGATCAACACGATATCTTCGATGCAACGGGTGAACCGCCGTTCTTACCCCGCGCTGGGTAGTTACCTGAAGGGTTCGCTTGGCCGTCTCGAGGCCAATATTCCATTGCGACTTAGATTCTCAAAGGTTACAGTCGAGTGTCGTTCGCTCGTGATCGTTGCGCTTATCCCACCGTGCGTCCCCGTAAGCGCAGAGGACACGAGAATAGCATTCGCATACAAAGAAGACACGCAACGCGGGTCAGAAGTGGGAAGATCGCCGTCGGGGTGCAGTCGAATGGGACCATATATCCCGTCCAGCGGTCGATATACAGTCGACGGCACGCGCTGGATTCCGACGCGGTGCAGACATGTGCATGTCCGCGGGATTCCAAGTCGGCGAAGTAATTTCGACAATCGGTAGATTCGACATTTCCCAATCAGTGGGGACGCGTGACTCGAATGAAAGATTCGGTCCCGAAACGGTAAGGGAATAAAAATGGAATCCAAATCAAGGCCAATCGGTCGGTGCGGATCCCATGGATCATCACAAACGCCGTAGCCATGGGCTCGGATCTGATGGGGTTGATTAAGGAGCAGTGTAAATCACTGCCAAACCACAGCACTTGGTCAGCGACCAGGACGACAGAGTCGCCGGTTGTGGGACACGTGTACGTCGTAGCACACTTCGCAATCGGGACATCTGGCTTCGGTTGATACTCCGCAGAAAGGGAGAAACATTGCAGTACTCGCCCGAAAGTTCGAGCAAACGCCAATTCGGTCCAGCACACGTGGTGTCAGCGTGGTTATCGATCTCATTGATGGCAATGTTGCCAGGGGTTGGTTCATTGGGCTTATGGTGTGTGGGGCCCGTGCGCCTTGCACTTGAAATTAACGCGTGTGCCTGCGCCTGACGTGCACCACTGGCCTCTGCGAGTCAGGTGTTGTACGCGCCG